CTCCCAGCTCATCCACATTCTTTACTTTCTCCTTAGTGAAAACATCTTCCGCTTTTTTGTTGCAAGCAGAGATGAACTCATTGTAGTAGCACTGCAGCACGAATGCCGACTTGCTTTGCGGACACGATAAGTAATCACTGTAAAGATGAACACAACTGACAAAGCCTCCTCAGAGAACACCTATACTTTGGCTTTCTAGTCCTAGATCACATGTAGAAGTGACAAAGAAAAGCCCGAAGCGTCGCAGCTGTCATCGCCTCTTCTGAAAAAAAGAAAGAGCTGAAAAAAGAAAATTCCTCGGTTTCGTTTTCTGCTCCCTCGCTGTCTCAGGTTTTCCGCGCCCATGCTTCCCGCTCCGCAACTCACACTTTGTCTTCTGCCTCGCTGACCTTGCCCTCCCGTGTTTCCCTCGCACCTCGCCTCTGCGCTTGTAGACCTGCAACGTTGAAATTTCAATGAAAAAATAGAAAAAAACAGTCGTCCTTTCGTTTTTCTTTTTCCCCCTCCACAACATCGCACATCTTCGGAGAAGCAAGGCGTTCGTTCGCTGTGTCGTCTGCTTGAATAACGCTCCGGTTGTCGCGACGAATTTCAGAACATGAGTTCATAGTACTGAGGCGTTGTTAATATAATGCGGAACTGAATTAGTGCTCACTATTATGAAAGGTCCGGTATTTTGAAGTATGTTATAGTTAAACAATTTTACATTGAAACTATTAGCAGTCTGCGTGATAGTTTTAAAAAGTTTGTGGATCTGAAAAGTTCGTTAAAGTGGTGTTCGTTCTACCAAAATTTTACTGTATCAGCAAACTCGAAAAAATACAAAAAAAAAGTAGTTCGTTACATATATAACTAAGGCCCCTAGTTTTCCGCACTTCCGAGATACCGTGCGAAATTCTGGAATTCACGTTTTTCCGTTGAAATATGAAAAACAGGTTGATTCCTCGAGAAAACATGGAATCGCGTTTTTTTTTTTCCTTTGCGGGAATGTGAAAAGGCATAAGTTTGTTTGCAACGCCAGCTAACAAGTTCTCAGGCGCGCAATAAAAAATCGACGTCGTTGTAGCCTGTAAAATAACTTGCTTTTAGTATGAGCTTTGATTATAGGATGGGGAAGTCACCATTTGCACTTCTTTGGGAACGGATATGACGCAGACTAGTCTAGCGCGAAACGGGGCTGTGTGATGAACTCGCATGCTCGCAACACACTGTCGCGAAGGTGGTTCCGGTTTCGTACTCGATAGAAAGGCAGAGAAAATTTCTTTACTCATTTTTTTTCTTAAAAAAAGAAAGAAAAGTTCGCATTAAGTATCGGCGAATCAATGCGCTCGTGTACTTTATTACTTAATAGAAAAATGGTTCATGTTGCTTTGTCGTCTTTTAGTAGTAGGAAAAATTGAAGCCGCCACTGATAAGGCTTAACGGTAGGCATAAATAGCCGTAGTCATTGCCACCTACCCATCCAATGTACTTGGTTTTCTTTTGCGGCTGCACGTGTGCTCTGTGGTGTACCCGCGTGTAGATGTTCTCTGGTAAGCCTTGTTCTCCTTCGCTTTGGTCGTTCTAGCTTTGTTTCAAGATCGATGAGGGAATAGACATGGTGCCTTCAGGGTCACATTTAAGTAAAAAAACTGCCAAGGAATGCGCTCGAGAATACAAGCACGCCGAGTTTTACAAAGATGGAGGTGTACTTTTTTTACCAGGCTTGCGCAAGAGCAGTTCACCATCGCCGCAAGTCAACTATTGACGAGCACATCGAGAGCGACCGTCATCGCAAGATTGTCGAAACAAAGGACTCCTCTAAACGAAAAAGCGGCAAAGAATCATCGGAAGACGGAGCCAGGGTTTCAGGAATGCCTAGAAAGCAAAGTCGACTGCAGACGTTGAAATCCCTAATCACAGCTGGTGAAGCGAGGAACGACGTTGTGCTCAAGTTCTCTGGTGCACTGATATTCACAAGTATTCTCCTTGAGATGGCGGAGAATCCGAAACTGAGAACGTTTCTGCAGACACACGTTCGGAATGGCGGATCGGTGCCTGGATTTGATGCGCTCCACTGACGACTTCCAGAATTGTTCGAGAAGCACGAGGCAAATTTGAAAGTTATGTTTCAAGGCACCACAGTTTCTGTAATTATAGATGAAACAACCGACGACCGATCAAAATCGGTTGTGAATGCGTTGTTCGTTCAGTCGGCCAGAACCGCGAGTGCAGCGCTACAACCTGTACTCGTGGAAGGGAAATTCGTGGATGAAGTGAACTCATCTTTCATTGGATGCATCGTGACAAAAACACTGACAAAGTATGAAGTTGAACTTGAGGAAGTATTGGGTTTTGTTAGCGATAGTGCCACTTACATGGTGAAGTCCTTTAGGGAGTGCATAAAGCCACTTTTTGAGGATGCTGTTCACATTACGTGTGTAGCCCATACAGTGAACATTGTTGGCAGCACACTGCAGGCGTCATTTCCCTTAGTGTACAAGTTTTCCGCTTGTATGAAAAAGGCCTTTCATCTGTCGAGTATAAGGAGAGCTTTTTACAAATCACATCTGGAAGAGTGCGGAGTTCAGTGTGCCAAAGCACCGCCAGCACCTCTCCTAAGTAGGTGGAATTCATGGATTGAGGCTGTGGAACAACATTCTCCCTACTTTGAGCACTATCCTTCATTGCTTCAGGAAGTCCATCAGAAGTATGGTTAAGCAGCGTGTGTTGATTCTCTTCTGAAGCCTGCTTAATGAAGACTCAATTGAGCTCAGGTACAGCATGCGTTGCATTGCGATATCTCGGAAAAATGTTTGAAGCTTGCTGAAAGCAGCAGAGGAGCAGTGCGTAGCCTGCCACAAAGTGTACAATGCATTGTTTACGCTTCGGGGGTACTTTGAAGCAGGCTCAAAGGAGGATTTTGCAACACAGCTAAAGAGTGAAGGTGTTGCACATAATGAGGCCAATCAAATTGCAAGCAAGATGAAGGCTGCAATGACCAAAGCGGCTAACAAAGCTTACGTATACTTGGAGAAGTCCAATACCTGGCACTTCTTCAAGGATGTTAGGTGCTTAAATCCTCTGTAAGTTAAGTGCCTTCCGGAGAAGAGGACAGAGTTGACTGGCGTGCCGCAGCTTGCTTGCAGAAGAATCACCAGCTCTAGCTGCCGAATGGCAGATTTACCTGAAGACTGCACAAAAACTGACACCAGTGACAGGGACTTGGCTCCATTTGTGTTCAAACAACAAAATTCAGGATGAGACATTCATATCCTGGCTTTCTGGGCAGGGATGGAGCATGGAGCAGCTTACTCCAACCCTTTCATCAATCGCCTTGAAATACTTAGCAATACAAATCAACTTAGTTGATGCAGAGAGATCGTTCAGTCGCTATGGTGACATTGTGTCCCACAAGCGTCACTCTCTAAGTGAAGAGCATCATCTGATGCTGTGCCACAATAGCTTTCTTCAATATTAATTATTGCAGGCATGTTGCGAGCCTGAAAGTGTGATAAATTGTTACTTGTGCCTCCTTGCATTTGTTCAGTATTGCCGCAGAATTTTGCATGCTTAGGGTTGCTGCGAAATTTCGCAGATTCCTTTATCTGGAATTGCAGAATTTCAAATTTTCCGCTGCATAAAGTTAGGGACCCTATATATAACTCATATGGTCGTTCATCAATTACTGAACTCGTGAAACAATTTGGTTTGCCCTCAGTTAGCAATAGAGGTAGAATTCGCCGACTGAAATTATTTTACCAAATAGTTAAAGGACATTACAACATAAACTCCTCTCCTGTTATCAATTATTCTCAGGGTTATGGAAGTAGGCAAAGACATTTTTTCACGATAACACCTTTACTTCCACAAAATAACTGCTTTAAATACCCTTCGTTCCCTTGAACTATTGTTAATTTGAAAAACCTTCCAAACAATATTGTAGCACAAGCCTCGCTTTCTTTGTTTTAAAAATATTTTCAGTAGCATGTTAGCATCGTTGAATATACCTTTCTTTTGTTATTTGTTCCAATTAATTGCACATTTTTGTTCAATTTTATAAATTTTCTCCTGGAAATTATATTTATTTTGTGTTTATTCAGCTTGTTCTTTTACTCTTGCATTTTACAGTCACTATTTGCAGCTAAATTCTGTTTTCTTCTTGTTCATTTTCTTGGTCTCATTGTTTTATATGTTTGCATTGTATTTTTCACATCATGTATTTTCTTTGAATACTATTCGGCCTTTTTTAAATATCATTATCAATGTTTCACACCTGCTATAGTCTCTGCTTGAGACTGCAGTATCAATAAGTAAATAAATAAAATAAAGTAAATGTTTTTATTGCTAGTTATTTATTATTAAGTTAGCTGTGTAGCTTAGAAGCTGCTGGTCACGTTCTCTAAACATCTACTAGGTTTTCATTATCGGTGACTGTGGTAGTCACTCCGACCAGAAAGCGTTGGATGCACATGCACTTTCAGAGTTTTGTTGTCACCATACATGATTGCCTTAATAGCAATTGTGGTTTCTCTTGCAATGGCTGTGGCAAACAATTGTGGACAAAGCCATAACAGGTGAAATCAGAGCAAATATGATGTAGGTGCTAGACAAGCACGTGGTGCAGTGCTTGTAATGTGTTCTTCTTGACTTGTGTCTCCATGATGTTCATGCCGTTATTTCCCACAAATGCATTGCATCTATAAAGACGCAGATGCACTGATGAAGGGAAGGACTTTTTGCATGTGCAAAGCCTTTAGAATGGTTTGCATCTGGGCTAGTTGGTGGTCTGGTATGTTGAGTGATTGGAGATAAATTTAAGAACACTAATGAAAAAAAGAAACAGGAAGTTAGCGCTGTCTTCGTGTTTCTTTCCGTCGTTCGTGCATTTCAATTTGGCTGCAACCACTCGACATGAAAGCCTTTGGTACAAACTGTGCGTGAGCCATGTATATTAAGTTAAATATGCGCTGCTGTGGCAACATTTGTTTAGAGATGTGGGTGAATCCTCGAATGCGTAGGTTGCAGTGCCCCAGTTTGAGCGTGAGCGCCCTCTGTGGCCTGAGGAGCACTCCTCAGGTGGCGGAGAAAGTCGCGAGTTGCAGCTCGGCTGCTCACGGGCGGTGGCCACCAACTGGCGTCCGGCCGACAGGGGTGCCTGCCTGGAGGCCCTGGGCAGGGGTCCCCTCTTCTTCGAAACCACCAGCTTTCCCTGGCGGCCCGATGGAGGAGGGGCCAGCCCCGATCCTCCGCCTGTGCACCCGTGCTTCCTGCAGGGACAGCAGCAACGCTCCAACGGTGGGTGCCTGCTCCTTATTCACTTTTTAGAATAACCATGTAAAACAGTGGTCAACTGAGGCCACATGAAGTCTACAAGATTCACATGAGGCAGATGCTGAGAGAAAGACTTTGACTGATGAGGAGTCAGTGAACGAGGAATGTTTCTGGAGCCAAAGTTCCAACGAGTGGGTCTGTCTTACTGCTGTGACAAAGATAATACAAGCACTCTGCAAGTGATCGCATGATTTGCTCCTCTGGCAAAGCTAATGGCAACTGCAACAAATCACACAAGTGTGCTTCAAGGCACTGCAACACTTGGACGAAACTGCAGCCTTGTGTGTGCGGCCTTGTGTGTGCAAGTTGCCTTAAGCATCGTCGCCAGGACATCAACAAAGTAGAATTTCGGTGGTACGAACACCTTTCCACACCAGGTCGGGCGATAGTAACTTGGTTACCGAAACATTCAAACCTGACTGAGAGCATCATGCCCCAGATCCATCAGAATTACGTGCATGCCCAGCACACACACAGAACTGTGGTTGTCATTTGCCACAACCACTGTAAATGAAACTACAGTACAGGTAAATCTGCTTATAACGAACCTCCATATAACAAATTCCTCGACATAACAAAGTTTTTATATTCCCCTCCATTACTCCATAAAAGCACATGTATTTGTGACCTCTATGTAACAAAGTAACACTGGGAGACAACTTTAATATAACGAATTTTCGGGACAGATAATTTAGCAATTTTGCCTCGGATTTTGTAATTTGTGCACGAGCATGCATCTTCCACTGTTGCCCGATTGCGATGAAGCACGAAGCGGTGACAGCGCGTGCACGGCCCCCTCATGGCTCCGGTAACTACCAGGCAAGAGCATGCGGGCCTGTTCCCCACTAGCCGGCATTGCCATCGTTATATCCGCTGCAGATGCATGCGCCCTCCCCTTTTAAAAAGAAAGAAAAGAAAACAACTTTTTTGTTTGCAGTGCCTCGTATTTAGTTAGCATCACATATGTAGAGTTGCGCTGGATGTGGAGGGCGCTTTATTCAATAGTTTTCGGCAGTGTTCATGTCATTCGCAATCCATTTTCGACACTGTGCACGTGTGCTGGGTGTGCGTGTCTGAGACGCGAACAATGTTAGAAACGGGAAAGATGGTTTTCTTGCTCAGCACTGCACTGAGTGCAATTGTGTTCCCCTCTTCAAGGACACAGCGACGCTGTACAAACACAGAGATGAAACACCCGAGTCATTGTCAAGGCCGCGCAGATGGCACGCAAACAGGTGCCTTGTATTAGCAAGCCCTCCGTAACTTTGTTCGAGAAGGAACGCAGGTTCCTCGAAGGTTTCGGTGCGGGCAGGTAGTTATATTATCTTTACCTTTCTGTTTCGTTTTCTTCTAGATTTTTCTTTGCTGTTTTTCAGTGCTTTTGTTTTTGTGTTGTTTGTTTTTGTTTTTCTTACTCACTCATGTTCTGCTCTTTGTGCCATATGGTTTTTATCACATGGTTACTGTCTCGTCTATATATTTTTGTGCTCTGCGCAATAAACTCAGTTGGAAGTTAGCGCTCGTGTCTTTCGTGTCCTTCTTGTCTCTGTGTCGTCGTTTTGTTCTCGCGCTATAACTATCGTCATAGCCGATTAGCTCTAGCAATAACATGGGGAGGAGTGAGGGGGGGGGTGATCCTTTAGTAAAAGGCGAAAGGTAAAAAAATCTATCTGGAGTGCATGATAACTGTGTCTCGTGTAAGGACAACTCAACCGATATACTCCCGAGGGAACGGGGACTGAACGGACCGTAAGAGTGAAGGAGAGGAAGTAAGGTAGAAAGAAAAGGGGGGGCTACATGAAGGAGGAGAAAAAGAAAACTCGCGTGATGGGAGAAGGACACGGTTCATTGTGACGAGCGGCTTATAAAAGTTGCTCTGTCGAGTTGGTGTTCTCAAAAAAGTTAAGTAAGTCCGCAAGGGCATAGGGGCGATAATCTTTTTAGCTGGTGGTATGTAGGATGTCCTGCAGGGTCGCACATGGCAGTCCCGCGAGGCGGTATTTTCTTGACGAGCCGCTGGCGCGCATATACGAGAGCAGGACACTCGCACAAGAGATGGGAGAATGTTTCCACCGAGCCGCAATTGGCGCAGTTCGGGGAGACCTTGCCGCTCAGACAATGCTTACGTTACGCTGGCCATAGAGAGCCGGCTTTCAGGTAGGAGGAGCTCTCAGTCGCGGTGGGTGAAACCAGTCGCTTACATGGGAGGAGGTTGTGTCCTGCGGTAACCTGAGCATCAGGATGCTTGCGCGCTAACTCGGAGCGAAGGTTGCTGTGTGCCGAGTCAAAAGAGCCTGCGTAGTTCATTAGTGGCGTCTCAGTGGAGTGTTCTCGTTTGGTAAGTTCGTCGACAGCCTCGTTCCCCGGTGTGAAGAGAGCCACTGGAGCACAATGTCACAGCCACACTCTTGAAGGGCAAGTAGGCTGCGTGCAGCGTGCTGAGCCAGGAGCGGGCCACGTTCCTCCCTTGAGAGCTGGCTCAGGGCACGCTTTGAATTGCAGAACATTGCTGCGCTTGTGACCGCTCACTACTCGTGTAGGAGGTCAGCAGCCAATAGAAGCCCGACTAGCTTAACTGTTGTAGAAGATGCACAATGCCACAAGCGGTACTGTCGCTCCATGCCAAGCTTAGGAACTGTGGATGCGGCCGTAACAGAGCCATCCCACAGGACAAATCTATCAGTGAACACTTGCGTCCTCCCGGCCAGGCCCCCGGACATTCGCCCTGCCACCTCCTGTGTCATGGCACTAAGTTGAGTGTGGCGCTTCGATCTGACTCCCGGCAAGTGCAGATTCACTTGAAGGGGCGCTCGCCAGCGTGAAGAGCGTGCGGGATAGTCGGCCACGACGCCGTCGTAGACATCCAGGAGTTGACCGACACAGGAATTTCGCAAAGCACATAACCGCGCGAGCAGGGGGCCATCATCGGGTGCCCGGTGGAGACGCTTCAAGTGGCACACTGTGCGCAGGTCCGCCATGAGCCACGCAGGCATGTGCGAGCTTCCGCAAGTGTCTTCGCCACAGGACAACTACGAGGCATTCTGGGACACATAAGGATGGCACGGCGTTGGTTTTGGTATATTAGTCACCACTATGGTGCTTGGAGTTTGCAGTTCAGCAGTGCGTAGTGCATATAGATAGAGCCATCGCCTCGTATATCGTGCAGGCGAAGGCAGCGGGGAAGTCGTTGCCACGGGCAAGTAGACGATGCACAGCTGATTCCACGCAACGTATCATCTGGTGTACGCGTCATACCGCTGGAAACTATCGGAGGCAATTTTCTATCGTGAGGCCGAGGTAGCGGATTTCGTTGCGCCAAGCTATCGGCGCAGCTTTTAGCTGAAGACACGGAAGATGTCATTGGGCCTCAGCACAAGGGTGAATGATGAGGCCCTCGGTTTTCGGCGCTGAGATCGTGAGGCTGATGCTTCTAATGAAGGTGGCCACACACTGGAGGGCCTCCTGCATATAGGCGCACACCGCTCAGCACTTACGGGTTGGTCCACGCACATAAAGAGTGACGTCGTCAGAGTACACAACCAAGCGTTCAGTGAACACAGTTATTTCTGGAAGGCTCTTCGTGAGTGCGAGTTTCATATTAAACAAAAAAGGGCTGAGCACGCTGCCCTGTGCGACGCTGCAGCTGACGGGACGCCGTGCACTTGTTGCCCCACCTACGCGCACAGTAAACGTCCGGTTGGTGAGGAAGGCCTGAACGTAGTTCAAGAGTTTGCCCTTGACACTGAGCGCGTGCACAGAACTGATGATGGACGCGTGGGGAGCGAGTCAAACGCCGACTGTATGTCAAGGAGGAGTAGAATGGCCTATTTCTCTATTGTGTAGAGCTTGCTCCAGGGTGCTCACAATCGCAGTGATGCAATCAGCTGTCGCGTGATGAAGCCGGAATCCACACTGTTTTGATAAGAAAGCAGTGTGAGCATCTGCGATTCGCTGCAGTCGATAAAGGGCCATGTCTTCCATCGCTTTGCCCGCCACAGAGGTAAAGGAGATTGGTCTACATGACTTGACCGAGTGTGGCAGTTTGCGTTTCTTGAGAACAGGAAATATAGTAGCGGAGCTGGACTGATCCGGGAGGACAGCACTGAAGAAAACTCTGTTGAATGCATCCAGCAAGAAAGGGTGCTGGGAGGCGTCCAGGATTCCCGGTATTTGATGTGTGGTTCTGTCCTGACCAGGGGCACTGCGCTTGCGCCTTCTGAGGAGAACCCGTTCCAGTTCAATGAGAGAGAAATCCTCCTCACAGAGAGAGTGAATGTCATCTGAGATGGCGGTTTCCACGGCAGGAAGGGCGAACGCTCCAGTTGCCTTGACACTGGTAACACTCACTCTATTTGAAGAAGAAGGAGGGGTAAATGAGGATGCAAGCAGTTTATCAAGCTCCCTCTCAGTGATGCCCTGCGCAACGGCTATTGCGAGGACTGGGTATCACGACAGTTTCGAGTTGATCATCATACACAAGATGAGACAGCTGCGACGACAGCGGCGTGAGTTCCTCAGAGAAGAACAGATGCTCGTCAAGCTGCCGTCGCATAGCCGCTGCGCGTGAGGTGGCCACACGGTGTCCAGTCGGTTGTCTCTGTCCATGCGCCCCCAACAGAGGAGCGTAGCGCTCGCCTCTGTGTGCGCTAGTGCACTGCGTTGAGGTTGAGCAGCTTGATGTCAGAGCAGGACGTGCAAGCAGGAACAGTAGAGTGCGTTGTCACACTCAGTACAGTCCGCGATGCGCAAAAAGAAATCACTGCTCTGTTTTCGCGCACAGCTCGTGAAAAAGTGGCCACCGCACAACTCTGTTTTCGGGAACGGCACCACGGCTGGGGTGACACGGAAGGAGCATGATCGAGTAGTGATCAGACCCAGCGGTGTCAGCGTGATGCTTCCACCGCACTTAAGAGCAGCGCTCTGACACAGGCGTCAAATCTATCATAGTCAACGTCACGCTGCCA